CCCAACAAAAATACCAGCAAACCAAAGTCAATAGCACATTAAAAGTATCAGACACCACAATCAAGTGAGATTCATACATGAGATGCAAGAATGATTCAACATACACAGAATAAACAAGATACATTGCATTAGTAGATTAAAACCATATGATCATCTCAATAAATGCAGAAAAAGTATTTGACAAGATTCAACATTGTTTCATGATTAAAACTCTCAACAAACTGAGTATAGAAGGAACATACATCAACATAATAAATGCCATCTATGACAAGCCCAGAGCTAACATCATACTCAATGGTGAAAGGTTGAAAGCTTTTCCTCTAAGATCAGGAACAAGACAAGAGGGACCACTCTCACCCCTCCTCTTCAACAAAACTCCTATATTGGAAGTCCTGGCCAGAGTAATTAGGCAAGAAAAACAAAGAAACTGCATCCAAATCAGAAAGGAAGAAATAAAACTGTTAAAACGGTTTCTGTTTGCAGATGATCTTATGCATGGAAAATCCTAAAGACCACCAAAAAATTGTTAGAATAAACAAATTCAGTAAAGATGCAAGATACAAAATCAACATACAAAATCAGTTGGGATCCTGGGGCTCCTGTCTAGCTCAGTTAGTAAGCACGTGACTCTTGATCTCAGGATTGTGAGTTCAAGTCCCATGTTGGGTGTGAAGCCTACTTTAAAAAATAAATTTTAAAAAACATGCTTATTAAAAAAAATCAATTGGGATTCTATATACTAACAATAAAATATCTGGAAAAGAAATAAAGAAAACAATCCCATTTACAATAGCATCAAAAACTACAATATACTTAAGAATAAGTTTAACCAAGGGCAAAAGATCTGTACACTGAAAATTATGACACTGATGAAAGATTAAAAATGACACAAATAGGGGTGTCTGGGTGACTCGGTTGGTTGAGCATCTGCCTTCAGCTCAGGTCATGATCCCAGGGTCCTGCGATCCCTGGGATCAAGCACCACATCAGGCTCCCTGCTCAGTAGGGAGTCTGCTTCTCCCTCTGTCCCTCCCCCCTCCTCATGATCTCTCTCTCTCTTTCTCACGCTCTCTCTCTCAAGTAAATAAATAAAACCTTTAAAAAAAAATGACACAAATAAATGGAAAGATATCCCATGCTCATGGATCAGAAGAATTAATACTGTTAAAATGTCCAGACTGTTCGAGCTATCTATAGATTCAATGCAATCCCTACCAAAATTCCAATGACATTTCTCACAGAAACAGAAAAAAACCAATCCTAGAATTTGTATGGATTACATTTGTAAGGATTACAAAAGACCCCCAAATAGCCAAAGCAATCTTGAGCAAAACAAACAAAGCTGGAGGCATCATACCTCCTGATTTCAAACTTTATTACAAAGCTATAGCAATCAAACAGTATGGTAGGCATAAACACAGACACACAGGCCAATACAACAGAATCAGAGTTCAGTGGTTGATATCTGACAGGGAGCTAAGAATACTCAAAGGGGAAAGGATAGTCTCTTCATTTAATAGTGCTGAGAAAACCAGATAGTCACATGCAAAAGAATGAAACACGTCACTCACAAAAATAAACTTAAAATGAGTTAAAGACTTCAATTTAAGACCTGAAAATGTAAAACTCCTAGAAGAAAACATAGGGGAAATGGATTCTTGACATTGATCTTGACGATATTTTGGACATGACACCAAAAACGTTAAGTAGCAAAAGCAAAAATAAATGAGTGTGACTACATCGAACTAAAAACCTTCTTTACAGTAAAATAAGCGACCTATGGAATGGGGAAAAAAATGTGCAAACCATATATCTAATAAGAGGTTAACATCCACAATATATGAAGAACTCATACAATTCAATAGCAAAAAATAATAATAATTTTAAAAGATGGGCAGAGGATCTGGACATTTTTCCATCCACACAAATGGCCAACAGGTACATGAAAAGATGCTCAACAACATTTGTCATCAAGGAAATGCAAATCAAAACCACAATGAGGTATCATCTCATACAATAATAACATGGTTATTATCAAAAAGACAAGAGATAACAAGTGCTGGCAAAGACAAGGAGAAAAGGGAACCCCTGTGCATTGTTGATGGGAATGTAAATTGGTGCAGCGACTATGAAAACAAGTATGAAGATGCCTCAAAAAACTACCAGAACTACCATATGATTTATGGTAGTTTATTTAGTTATAGCCCACTTCTGGCTATAGATACAGAGGAAATGAAATCACTATCTGAGATATCTGTACTCCTGTGTTCATTGTGGCATTATTCATAATGGCAAGACATAGAAAAAACATCAGTGTCCATTAATGAATGAATTGATAAAGAAAATGGATGAATGGGGGAAAAAGCAATAGAAAAAAAAAGTTATACATATATAATGAAATATTATTCAGCCATCAGAAGGAAATCCTGCTATTTGCAACATGGATAGAGCATAAGGGCATTATGCTAAGTGAAATACATCAGAAAAACAAATACTGTATGATCTCACTTATATGTGGAATCTTAAAAAGTTGAACTTACAGAGAGTAGAATAATGGTTGCCAGAGGTTGAAAGGGTGGGGGAAATGGGTGGAAAAGTGCAAGTTTCCAGTTATAAGATGGGGATATAATGTACAGTATGGTAACTATACTTAACAATACTGGCGTATATACTTGAAAGTTGCTAAGAGACTATATCTGAAATGTTCTCAACCCCCCCAACACACACACACAAAAGATAATTATGTGAGGTGATGCAGGTGTTAACTAACCTTATTGTGGTAATCATTTTGCAATATATATGTGTATCAAATCATCATGTTGTACACATTAAACTTACACAATGTTATATTAATTTAAATCTGGAAAAAGAATTTAACATTAAAAAAAAGGAAAAACAAAGATGATCAAAGGAGAGGCAAATGTATTATCCTTAAGGTCTCATCAGGTCCTCTTCAAGTTAAGTCCAGAATTCAATGAACAAAAGAAAGTGGATTTCTTACACCTCCTTCTGCATTCCTCTGAATGAATTCAGCCCCCAGGAGGGGCTACAATATGAAGTATGATTTCAAGACAGTTCCATTTAAAAACGGAGGGGGCAAGACAGAAAATGCCTTCCTTATGATTTCAAGCCATCTTCTTTAAACTCTTTACACATTTTAGTAAAAAATAAAGCTTTCTTTAGACTCCAATTCTTAAGTCTTATTTGACACGTCTACCCTGTGTTGAATAGCATCATATAAGAGATGAAACAAGAATTATCTACTTTGGGGGCACCAGGGTGGCTCACTTGTTTAAGTGTCTGCCTTCCGCTGGAGGTTGTGATCCCCGGGGCCTGGGATGGAGTCTCACTTGGGGCTCCCTGCTGGGGGGGGGGACCTGCTTCTCCCTCTAACTGCCTCTCCTCCTACATATGCACTGTCTCTAATAAATAAACTCTTAAAAAAAAAAAGTTTAAGAGGCGCCTGGGTGGCTCAGTCATTAAGCGTCTGCCTTTGGTTCAGGTCATGACCCCAGGGTACTGGGATGGGGCCCTACATGGGGCTCCCTGTTCCACCGTGGGAAGCCTGCTTCTCACGCCCCCACTCCCCCTGCTTGTGTTCCTGAAATAGCTCTTGCTATTTCTCTGTCAAATAAATAAAATCTTAAAAAAAAAAAAAAAAGTTTAAGAATATCTACTTTGAATCAGGCACTAAACAACAGCAAGCATGCTTTAACACATCACATAATGGGGGCTGACTTAAATTTTAAGTTGTGTTATCTTAAGTAGTAGCAATCATTACTAGCCAAATCAAAAACATTAAAATGAGGAAAATCCAAAGCAACGTTCCCAAAAGTAGGAAGAGTACATATAATAAAACTGATGGGTAGAACCCATAAAATAATTATCAAAAGCTCCCTGATTACAGTGGAAGGAGACCAAAATTCAGCGCAGAAGTCTCTCGGTTATTCTTCAGAGAGGTGAGATGTGACCTCACATGCTATGGGGAAGGTAAGCTGTTCAGACGGGGCAAACAGGGGCGCCTAGATGGGTTAGTCAGTTAAGTGCCTGCCTACAGCTCAGGTCATGATCCAGGGGTCCCCTGATCAAGTCCCACTTTGGGCTCCTTGCTGGGCGGGGAGCCTGCTTTGCCCTCTGCCTCTGCCCCCCCCCCCCCGTTCATGCTCTCTCTCTAATAAATAAAATTAAAAAAAAAAAAGGACAGGGCAAACAATAAGCAAATAAGTCAAGTTACTTAAGTATTGTTTTTGTTTACACAAATAGCAACTTAAAATTAGAAATACAAACCTGTATGGAATTAAATAATTTGCCTCCTTCGGCAAATACGCTTTTAAGTTTTTGCCTCCCGCATTACCCACTTCAGTCCTTTTTCTCTTTTCTAAATACCAAAACATACTTCGAATTAGTTTTTACCCTTACTTCAACCCTTACCTAAGCTTTCATTTCAAAATCAACCTGAATTATCTGACTTGAGGCACAAACTGAATTCTTCTAGCCCTAGTTAAATGGTAAGTAATATAAACAGGGAGAAAAATACAAAGACAGGTTGATAAACTGCCAAGTGTCCATAGTAAATATTAAGGGTTAACTCCCCGATAATGAGATAAATTACCAAATCTACTTCAACGACGTGCCCTAATGCTAAAGATTTTTTAAAGTTGAGAAACCTTGGAGGATTCTGGCTTGAAACAAAGGTGAACATTTTCTGGGTGGTGGAGATATGAGTTATTACTTTTTTCTAGTCTTCAAACCAGGTGGGCGGGGGGGGGGGAGGCTGTGAACTGGGAAAGAACTAAAGCGAAAAGCCGCTGCAGGTAACGGTGCGGGCCCAATACCAGCAGGTCAACCTTTATCAGTCTCCATTGTCCCTTTAGCTTCGAAGACCAGGGAAACTCGTAGCGAGTCACCCAAGCCGGGCCCCACCTTGCTCCGGCCTTTCCCCTCCTCAAGATGGCAGCAGGCGCGAAAATCCAGGGCGGCGCGCGCGGCACTCTGGGAGCGGAAAAAGGGGACCGCGGCGGAGGCCGAGCCGGAAGAGGAGGAGCCGGGCCTGGAGGATCCGCGAGAGTCGCTGCGACTGCCGGTGTTTGCGGGTCGCAAGGAGCGGGGCCTGGCGGGCGGGGTGTGTCGCGATGCCGGAGCTGGCGGTGCAGAAGGTGGTAGTTCACCCCCTGGTGCTGCTCAGTGTGGTGGATCATTTCAACCGGTGAGCGGGTGCGCGGGGCGGCCTATCGGGATCGCCGTTGCTGAGTCACTGGCACGCTGGGACAGCGCGTTGGCCGCCGGGGCGCTGAAGGGCCGGGGGGTGGCACTGACTCCCCGAGGGGCCCGGACCAGCCTCGGATCACCAAGCCTAAATCATCCCGCCTCGTCCCCCGCCCCCAGCCGGCACTCCGCGGCTGGGACTGCACGTTCCTTTTACCGAAGTCCGTCCGCTGCCAGAGTATGGGGGGGAAGCTTCATTTAGCCCTGATCCCCCAGGCCTCGTGCCCATCTGTCACCTCGTCAGCCCCTTTTCACCAGCAAGACTCGGTGCCTCGTGGGAAAGCCCTACAGATTTGCGCTTCTGTGCCTCTGAAAGCTGTCACCACAATTTTGGTCTCAGCGCCTTGAAGGGCTCCCTTGAAGAGCTGTGGTTTCTGAGCAGGCATCTGTTTTGACGGTAACCTAAAATGTAGATTAGGTGTCAAGCTTTTCTTTTAAAAATGAGAGCGTTAGTTGCTTTGGGCATTAATGAATAAGCTGAAACATCCACAAAGTTTCTTCCGCCTTCCCTTCCCTTGTTTTGGAGCTGTTCATCCCGCTGGACCTGTTACACGTGTTCATAACTTTTACAAGATAACTACTTGAATTGGCAAGTGTAAAGACCCACTTGGGAGCATTTGCTATAAAGTCAGTTTCGAAGTGGCTGTTCTCCTGCAACTTGCGTTGTACAACTACTCATTCAACCATAGCTAATAAAACAGTGAAGACTCCATGAGGTTAGTTAATAAAACAGTGAAGACTCCATGAGGTTTAGGGTCCCCAGTTCCACTGCTTTGTAGAGCCTTCAGCCTAACAGGATATGCATGCATTCCCACTGTACAGTAAGTAGTCACTGCCTTTCTCCCTTGGATACTAGAGGTGCTAAGGGGACAAGCACCATTTCAGCTCTGTCTGGAGGACATACTGCAGACAGACATTGCTAGGTGCTGTCATAAGAGATGTAGGGTTTTAAAAAAACACAAATGGATTTTTGTAGACCAAAAGAAAAGCACATGAGTGTGGAACTTTCCTTTGAAGTGTGGAAATTCAATGCCTAAGATTACCCTCCAAAATCAGAACCACCAGGGATACAGAAAACTTTGACCCAAATCCCAAATTTAGTAAGCATTTATAAATTTGCCAGCCCATATGCTTAGAAAAATAGTACCGTGAAACCAGTGACTGTTAAGGAACTGAAGTTCGTTTTACAGTGGCCTCTGTCTTTCCTTTGAAAGTGGAGTGGTATTGTGTCTGTGTCTCATTTGCTAGTGGTCAAAGGAGAATTCTACATGAAGGTCAGTGAAATGAGATTGTTATCAGTGAGAGGTTGGACTAGTAGATAGACATTCTGAAGTAAACTGACTCATTCAGCCATCCTGTCAGTGTGATTAGTCACCAGCACACTTCTGACTGTGCCTGATTAAGCCATTCACAGAGACCACAGATGGCACACACATACCTCAGCGTCAGAACCCATTTTCTGAGCCCCTAGAAGGTACAAAGAATTAGAACTTAGAGTGGGGCATGTCCACATGGAATAGATATTCCAGAGAACAGTTGGCAAGCCAGCCCATGAAAGTGGTTCTACTTTAGCATCTTTATCTCTGAAGATATTTAAGGATAGGGAAATGAGGAAAGTTTAAAGGAGAAAACTGCAAAAGAAAAAGTTAAAGGCAGCACAACTTAAATGTACTTTTCAAACACCAACCAAATAACTTTTTAAAACTCCTCATACCTGGGGGGGGTTCGTTTTCTCCATTTTGAGGTTCTAGAAACTGAAATTTTTCCAAGTGTGTATTTCTTGCAGTTAACAGTGTAAAGACTGCCAACGTACAAAGTTGGTGAATCATCCATTATATTTATTAAAAGTTAATATTAAGAACTAACCTGACACTATTATATTTGTTTAGTAGGATTAGTCTCCAGGTAAGCTAAATTGTATCTGTACCATTGATATTTCCTATTGAGTATCTATCTAATTGTTGGGTCCATGTCTCTGTGTGCCTGTCAGACTGACCTTCTGCTTTCTTCTTCAGAATAGGCAAGGTTGGAAACCAGAAGCGCGTTGTTGGTGTGCTTTTGGGGTCATGGCAAAAGAAAGTACTCGACGTGTCCAACAGTTTTGCAGGTACAAATCTTACATTCTGAGCCTGGGTTAAAATGTCATATATCTTTAAAATTTAAAAAGAAAACAAACAAAAACTTTTGTGGTTTCCATTTTTACTACAACCCAGAAATTCTTGTCAGAATTGCTCAAGTATAGGAGGAAGGCTTAAGGTTACTCACTAAACTGAATAGTAAATATTTTAAATTTGCAGGCCATATGGTCTCTATTACAACTGCTCAGCCCTGTATTATAGCAGGAAAGCAACTATAGACAGTATGTTGACCAAGGGCTAGCTGAATGCTAGCAAAACTTTATAAAAATAGGCAGCTCTGATGTCTTTTGTAAATCCCTGCACTAGACTGTTCACCATGGTTATGGGTTGACAGGGGGAGATGGAGACCATTACCTTTTACTCAATGTCATGAACGTTTACAAGAATGTATCCTTGTATTTTACGATTAACAACAAAGAACAAAATAATTGCTCTAGAATGAACTCTAAACTAGAGGTCATGAACTCCAGTATCTGAAAGGACCAAGCAGTAATATTATTCATCAAAGGGATTAGGAAGTGATGGGGCTTTTAGCAAACTGACAAGCGTGTGTCCATTTTAAAGGGGGAAACCTCGGGCGCCTGGGTGGCTCAGTTGGTTGACTGCCTTCGGCTCAGGTCATGATCCTGGAGTCCCGGGATCGAGTCCCACATCGGGCTCCCTGCTCAGCAGGGAGTCTGCTTCTCCCTCGGACCCTCCCCCCTCTCATGCTCTCTCTCTCTATCTCATTCTCTCTCTCAAATAAATAAAATCTTTAAAAAATAAAAATAAAGGGGGAAACCTCTATCTGGCTCTAGCCAGTTGTTGCCAGGCCTTCCAATTTCAAGAGAAGCTGGAAGTCTGGATTTTTATATGAAATCTCCCAGTTTTTAATGAGAGCAACTCAAAAATAATTTTAATACCATGCTGGACAAACCACTTAGGTGGATCCAATGTGGCCTAGGGGTCTCCTAGGCTAGTTCTGTCCAGCACCTTAAACTAAATCTTACTTTTTTTTTCTCTCTCTTTAGTCCCTTTTGATGAAGATGACAAAGATGATTCTGTCTGGTTTTTAGACCATGATTATTTGGAAAACATGTACGGAATGTTTAAGAAGGTCAATGGTATGTCTTGATGTTTTGTTTTGTTTTTTAAGAAGGCATTGTGGCATTGATTTATATGTGTGTGTGTATTTGTGTGTGCGTGCGCCCAGGTACATGCCCCTGATGTCTTTTTGTTTCTTAGTATTCCCTTTTCTTTGTTTAATGTCAAGGGCTCTTTCACTTAGCTATACTTAAGTAAGACTAATGGTAGTAGAGGAATGAGGCAGAATAAATGAGAAACTGGAGTAGCAATTTAAGGCCAGCTAGACCCACCTAGGTTTCGGATCTAGCCCTCTTTAGCAGAAAAGTGAAGAACTATTAAACAAAATCCTGTTGCCCCGAGAGCTTAAATACCATCAGGGTAAATATATTTCTCTGTCACATGTATCATTTTCATTTTATTTCATCATAGCAATCCCATATGCTTTGGAAATGTTTATTTCCACAACATTCACAGTTCCAGTCTCTGTGACCTAGACTTGCATTTGTTTATGTGTTGCCTTGGACTTGTTTTCTAGTGTCATGTGTGACTGATTTCAACTAGTCTGAGACACAGATATCTCTGCATTTCCCTCACTGCTTATTTTCTAAGAATTCTGTTTTTCAGTTTTAGATTTCACAAGTATGTCAAGATTTAAAATAGATGTCTGGAATTTTTAAAAAAGTAGAGACCATAAGGGCTAGAGTTCTTACCACCCTTTTTGAGGGAATTCTATAGATCTTCATGTAACAGTTCAAACCCACTAATGTTTTCCTTCCCAGCCAGAGAAAGAATAGTTGGGTGGTACCACACAGGCCCTAAACTACACAAGAATGACATCGCCATTAACGAACTCATGAAAAGATACTGCCCTAACTCAGTAAGTGCTCTCTATCTTTAAAACTCTTGAATGATATTCCTTGCCAGCTAACATACAAGTATCCTAGGAAGGATTCGGGTAGCAAATCATTTCACTGCTTTTTCTCTAAACTGCTTGTGTTAATTTGTTTTGTATAGTATACAATAACCCAGGATATTTATTAAGTAACAGTAAATATGTGCTAAGTGCTTAATCCTCTCAGTAGCTAAATGGGGTGGTTCTCCTCCTTACAGCAAGAAAACTAAGGTTCAGAATTGTTAGTAAGGTCTCATACATGTGGGGACCAGGATCAAACCACTGGCTATCTTGATTCTGGGTTCCTCATGCTTGATAACCGCACTATACTACCTCTCAGCTTGTTGATGGATGGGGGTGAAGAGCAGAGCACATGGTGGGATCATATGAAATGTAGACTCATTTTTGCTGAAAATTCCAATTCTTTTCTGGTTGAATGAATGAAATAGCTTCAGTAATCATCATCAGTAGAATGGCTATGATTGTTCCTTACGTGCTTGGTGTGAGGTGGTTTGCTAAGGTGTGTTTTTCTGCCAGGTACTGGTCATCATTGATGTGAAGCCAAAGGACCTAGGACTGCCCACAGAAGCATATATTTCAGTGGAAGAGGTCCATGATGTAAGTCCTCATGCTATGAGCCAAGGAGATTAGATTCGCTGCTTATTGGACAATCTGGATTTTGTGTTGTTTTTAAGTCAACAAATCTTTTATCTCTAATAAAGCGTAGGTTGTTGATTTTTGTCAGCAGTTTGATAGTTTCTTTCCCCCTTGAGTTTTTCAATCCCCAAATTTTAAAAATCAAGAGGACCACAGAAATTTAAAATCCTCTTTTACACATGAAATTGAGGCCCAAAATTATCATATGATTGCCCAGAGATGTTCACAACAAAGTAAACACAGAGCCTGGTGAGCTTATTAGTCTTAATCTAATGCAGTTTCCACCATTCGGCTCCTCTGTGCCAGCATTCCCTTCTTGAAGTTTTTCATTCCCTCTAGACGAGACACAGGCTTTCAAAGAGAGTGAGTCAGAGCTGCCTGGAGCCAGATGGCAAGACCCATCTGTGTGATTTGACACCTGAATACTCGGCTCCACAGCATCCAATACCTGCCGTGTGCTTTGGGTGTAGACACAAAGAGGTTCCAGAATATAGCTTTTCTCTATTTCCAGGAAAACTAAACTGATTCCAGGGTAGCATTTGATGTGAAAATATGTGTGTTTTGTTGTGAGCATAAAATTTTGCACTTGAGCTCAGTCTTGAATTTCCAGAATCAAAAGTCTGAGGATAAGGTCTGCCTTTGGATTTAGATATGTAGACTTTATCCTTATATTCAGTTTTTAAATCAGGGAAAAGATTTTAGGTTAACTCCCTGCAGGTGTGCCTTGCACCGAGCTCCGTCCTCTTGTTCCTCTTCCTGCCTTGCCGCCAGGGGCCTTACATTGAATTCATTTCCTTGTTGCAGTCAGTCTTTCATCCTTGGTCTGATATAGTTGTTTCTGTTTTTATTTTTTAAGATTTTATTTATTCATTTGAGACACAGAGAGAGAGCATGAGCTGGGGGGGAGGCAGAGGGAGAGGGAGAAGCAGGCTCCCCGCTGAGCCAGGACCATGACCTGAGCCGAAGGCAGACGCTTAACGACTGCGCCACCCAGGCGCCCCCCGATACGGTTTTTTAAGTTAATTTTACCCTGCCTTTTTCAAAAAGGAATCAGAGGTTCTTACACACACACACACACACACACACACACACACACATCAAGATTTTTAAATAGGGGACAGAAGGGAGATGAAGGCCACAATATTAAATGAAGCCGAGGAAAAACGAGCACCTGAAAAGGCATTCCATGCAGTCCTGACCATTCCAGCAGACAAAGTCAAGAGGAAAATGGCATTTGCAGGATTTACACTGTCCTGGAAAAAATAATTACTGCAAACATTTATACCGCTTAATATAAGTTAAGTGACTTTCCCAAGGTCCCACAGCTCCCTTATGCATGGCAGAGCCAGACTTGGAACCCAGGTGGTCTGGCTCCAGAGTCTGCCCTCACTGCTATGCCGTCCTGCCTTGCGGACATTTTACAGCCATTACAGACCATGTACAGCCTCTTCTGGTGTGAGATCTGAGGAAAATTGCTCCTGAATCCTGTCAGGAAGCCACTAGGTGATAAAGTGAACCATATACCTGAACGGACCCTTTGACTAATTCAGGCCACCAGAAAGCCGGTTATGCTGACTGCATTGTTTTGGTGCTCTGGCATCATTCGATCTGAAGGACAGTAGATGGTTAAAAGTTAGATTATCTGACATCAGCTTGCCTCCAGTACACGTATTCTGTATACTGCCTATTCTAGAAAGAACTATATGCTTTAAAAATCATCCTAATTGAGACTTCCTCAAGTGTCCATCCCCACAGTGGGCTTAAGGGATTATCACGATTTTCCTCAGAGACAGGGAGCAGGGCCACTGCAGTGTCAGTCTAGAAGGCTGAGCTTTCAAAGCAAACCTCGCCATTTCTGCTGGCACTTGGGAAGCCTAGTGATGCACCCAAGAGGTGATATGACTGAAAGCAGAGGAATCAAGGTGTGAAAGGAGTATGTGCCAGGGTGTTTGTAAGTAAATAACTATAGTTCAGCCTCCTCTCCCAGGATGGAACTCCAACCTCAAAAACATTTGAGCACGTGACCAGTGAAATTGGAGCCGAGGAAGCCGAGGAAGTTGGAGTCGAGCACTTGTTACGGTGAGCGTCAGGACGGCATCGGAATCATAAGAAGTGGCCCAAGAGGCTCTATTAGGAGTGGGGAGATCTGGGTTCCAGGCTTGGATCAGTGTCTCGAGTTACAGTTGATGACTGTGGATAATACATCTTTGTCAGCAAAGGGCAGTGTTGACGGGGACAGGAACACGTGTGGGAAGGAAATGTAGGGTGTGTGTTCTTCCTGTGTATATTGTTTTCAGTGAAGGTAGCCAGCTGTCTGCGGAGAAGCTACGTTGGGATGGGTTTTTATTTTAAAATACTATAACCCTAACTTTATTCGAAAGGGTCATAGTTTTTCTCAAATAAGATTCCCTACAATTCAAAAAGTTCGTCCTGACTGATGGAAGCTTCTCACAACAGCGTATAGATGGGGGTGGAGAAAATGCCATCCTTTTCAGGACCAGGGAAGTCAAAATAGATAGCTTTTTTTTTTTTTTAAGTGAAGATGATTTCATTTTAGTTCTCTTTTTTGAAAAATGTCCTGTGATAAGAAAGATAAAATATATGCCTCCAAATCAAAACTAAGGCAGTTTACGAAGTAACATTTTTCTTTTGAAAACTTGCCCTTCCCCACAAAGCTGGGTGTTTGCCTAGATTGTGAGAACCTGTGTGATAATATAGTATACTGATGCTTTTTCCTGCCCTTCTTATGGGTTATTACAGAGATATCAAAGACACTACAGTGGGCACTCTTTCCCAGCGGATCACAAACCAGGTTCATGGTTTGAAGGGACTGAACTCCAAGCTTCTGGATATCAGGAGCTACCTGGAGAAAGTGGCCACGGGCAAGCTGCCCATCAACCACCAGATCATCTACCAGCTACAGGACGTCTTCAACCTGCTGCCAGATGTCAGCCTCCAGGAGTTTGTCAAGGCCTTTTACCTGAAGACCAACGACCAGATGGTAGTGGTGTATTTGGCCTCGCTGATCCGTTCCGTGGTCGCCCTGCACAACCTCATCAACAACAAGATCGCCAACCGGGATGCAGAGAAGAAAGAAGGGCAAGAAAAAGAAGAGAGCAAAAAGGATAGAAAAGATGACAAAGAGAAAGAGAAAGAGAAGGAAAAGAGTGATGGAAAGAAAGAAGAGAAAAAGGAGAAAAAATAAAACATGTAGCTTTTTAATTTGTAAATTAAAATCTTATAAACTAATTCAGTGTGCCACTAGAGGGTTCTTTTTCCTTTAGGTGCTTGTTAAAAAGCTGTACTGCTGAGAGCTCTCTGGCCCGGGGCCCCCTCGCTGTGGCGGGGAAGCGAGTGCACAGAGGCACTGAGCTCCGAGCCGACCAGCAGCTTAGGCTGCCATGCGTGGGGGATACGATAGCTCAGCCTTCAGATCACGTGAGAAAAGTGAAGAGAGGTAAACAGAACCTTACTGGTACTCTTCACTCTTACCTATCAAACTGGAAGTTGAATTTCCCCCATCTCAGAAGACTCTTGGGGTTGGTTTTTGGCAGTTTGCAGAACTGCAAAATGGAATGCATGAATTCCGTAAGCCTTAGAACACCCTGAGTTCTGACCCCTCTGAACTCTGTACCCGGAGCTCTGGCACTATCAGGGCTTGGGATCCAGCTCCATATATTGTTTACCTTCGAAGACACAATTAAATGACTTCGTTTGTAAGTCTGTGTTCTAGTCGTCTTTGGTTCTGGGAGTGACAGTCCTTTTCAGAAGCAGCCAAGACTTAGTTTTTAGTTGAAGCTGCCTTAAAGAATTTAGACTTGGAATCTTTCATGAAAGAGAGTCTCACTCCTTTAAAAGCAACCTGATGGTGAGAAGAGCTCTCAACTGAGCCCAGAAGACCTGGGTCCTAGTTTGTGCCTCAGGTTTGTCATCTGTGAAGTTCCTAGAGCAGTTTTTCATAAGGGACACAGGGCAGTAGGCCTAGGTACATGAGACCCCAAGGTCAGTGGGATGTTTCGGAGGATGGAACAAAGTTTCCCCAAAAGAAGTGCTCAGGGCTCAGAACAAGTAAGTAATCATTTGACCTACAGGAGTCCCTTAGATATTAATTCCCTCTCTTGAGCAGACAGAACCTAAGAGTTCTCTAATGTACCATATGGATTATCAATGTTCAAAAACTGAAGCATATAATAAAATAGCACTAAAATTAAGTTGAATCTCAGAAACCACTTTACAGTGTTCTAATGTCTCAAAGTTTATCAGAAACATCAATGTTTATTCCAAAGAGCTAATTAGTGGAAATTGGGAGTTGACAGTATGATGTGTAAATAAGCTTTTATTCTACTTAATAGGGGCATGCCAGTGTAAGGGCTGACTTCAAGTTTCATGAAGATTCTGACCCAAAGTGGGATGGTCAAAGAGAAACTGGAGAACCAACTTTTACTTGTCTATTTCAGCAGTCAAAATCAGGGTTGCTGCATCTAATTGGATAAAATGTGAAATAACAGTCAAGGCCTGAGATCTACTTAAAACCACAGGAGTGTTGAAGAAGCTTTTGAAATTTGGTTACCACGTTTCAAATATACTGATGTAAGAAAGGGAACCTGAACATTAACTCTCCAGCAAATGGGCAGGAAAGAGCCAGGATGTTTCTGGGGCTAGGCGGGGAATGATGAGAACGTCATCCCAAGGAGCGGATCATTTATGTAAGGGTCAGGGGGCAATCAGAGACCACACAGGATTCCGGTCCACTTTTAGTAGTATAATCTGTACTTAAACAGCTCTCCAGGGTCTTCTAACAACACAATGCCACACACTTTAAAGTTTGTCACCATTTCATAAACTGGAAAGTTCGTGGAGCAATAAGACCATGGGAATACCCAGGCCTTGCTATATGTAATAGTTTGACCCACGAATGGGCAGAATTGACTTCTACCTTTTTTTAAGATTTTTTTTTTAATTTTTAATCTCTTCACCCAACATGGGGCTCGAACTACAACCCTGAGATCAAGAGTCACATGCTCTACTGACTGAGCCAACCAGATGCCCCAAACTGAATTCCACCTTTCTAACAGGATCCTCTATTTCTTGCAAAAACAGTTTGTAGACTGTAGCTTAGGCTTATTTTCTAAAGCAAAATTGACATCCTATATAAGAGAGTGACCCTCATAAGGTTATTCATGAAGTCTTGCTTACACAAATAGCAGCTGAATTCACTACATAACCCATGACCCTCACCTGAAATAAAGCCTTGTGTCTGTATAGCCTGGCAGTCTCAAGATGAGATCTCTAAACTACGTCTGTTGTTTTTGAAAATACCAAAAATTACGTCTTGGAAAAAGTCTGCCCCAAAGTCTGGATCCCGTATCTGTCGCCGCAACATTATCCTCACTCCACTTCTAATGCTTCAGACTGACTTGTTAAGAGAATTCAGGCCGCTCTCACTACACACATTACAGAGGATGGTATTCGTGCCTTACTGGTTTTGTGTGATAACTAACATCTGAAATATCCCTCAACTTGTAAGTTATCCTTCATGTAAAGATGGAAACTATCAGAATGGAACAACTTTGGGCCAACTGATTAAATGTTCTTTAATTATGCTAAAGGGACAAGAGAGAAGTAATCCTGTTAAAGAGCTACCCTATTACTTCTCCAGTGTGCTAGATGCAGAGTATACCTCTCCAGCAGGAAACAGCAACCTCAGAATGGCAATCCGATTTCTGGAGGACCCTGCAGCTATGAGAACTTTCACTTCAAACAAAAGACTGGACACAGCCCTCATAAAAGAATGAAATCAGGGTTGTTCATTAAACTACAACACACTAAGAAAACTACTTCATTTGCCCCTGTTCGCAGAAATGGGGAGGATTTGGGGCATGCTTCAAAGGCAAGGAACCATTTGATTTATGTGACCCACAAGAGATTTTTTACAGCTTTCCTAAACAAATTCATTCCAAATTATTCGATGTAATAGAGGCAAGCACTAATTTGCTTATCTACGCTATTCAACTCCGTATCAGTATCATCGGTGTTTGCCTGGGAGCAGCAAAGAGTTCAGATCTTTCAAAAAAATAATAGACATTCTTGTTGGGGGAGTAGGAAGAACGTGACTCAGAAAGCAGGGAAATGGAAGTGGGGAAAGAAAATAGAGGAAAAGAAAGGAAGGGGAGACCAGGGAAGTTAATGTTTCCAGGGCATAAATCCAGAGAAACCTTTTTCTCAGCATTCCCCTTTGGAGCCAATCTGTTCTTTGACACTAGAGGGCGCCATTGACTCGTCTCGTCTCTTGGCCAGAGCGGCCTTTGATGTCCGTTTAGCACAGGAGGGCGAACCTTTCTCAGAGTTGCCTCCCGTCACTTCTGCTTTGGGCTGCAACCAGCCAGACAAGATTTTGAAGGAACGTGGAGAGTGTATGGGTGCAAAAAGATTGGGTCAGGTTGTCACTCCTCCTCCCTTGCTGTTCTCCACTCACACTGCTGCTTGGGCAATGAATATACATGGTCTTCTCTGCCTTCAGATAGCTCGTTCTTTGATTTTCCTCACTGCTGATACCACTCCTGGTCTCTTTAAAAACCATATTCAGTGGTGTCCTGGTAAATGCGAAACAACTAGTTCTCCAAAGAAAGAGGGAGGCGGGGTTTGATTTGTAGCCTTGGCCAATTCCCCTGGTGTAAATACTCCCACCATGGCTGGATGGCAAGATCCCAGCATTAGCTGGGAAGAGACGCACAGTAGCAGAGCATTACAGGGTATTTCCTAAACACAGATATAATAGACGACACTAACCTCAAGAACATGCATGGCAATAAAATGTAGTAGCATAATCCGGATATGATTGTATTTTGAGTATGACCTTTTTAGATATAATTTATTTCAATAAAAATTTGTACAACTTACCTACTTCATGAGACTCTCTGGGAATCTGTGTTTTTAAGATGCTCTCCTTGGGGTTCCTGAATACATTGAAGTGAGAGAACCTTTATTTTGATATAGACAAATCTATCCATTTCTTGCCCTGGTTAGCACTCTATGAGTCATATTTAAGAAGTCCTTTCCCAGCTCTGGGGGCGCCTGGGTGGCTCCGTCAGTTAAGCTTCTGACTTCGGCTCAAGTCATGATCCCCGGGTCCTGGGATTGAGTCCCGAGTCAGGTTCTGCACTCAGCAGGGAGTCTCCTTGAGAATTCTCTCCCCCTGCCCCTCCCCCCCTCAAATAAATAAAATCTTTAAAAAAAAAAGTCCTTTCCCAGCTCAAGACTTCTTCTCAAACACATGTCTATTACACTCCACGAAGTGTCTTCCTTCACAGCTTAGTACCCATATCAACCTCTTTCTATACACTACAGCTAAAATCTGATCAATAATAACATAACTTGGCTACCCTTTTAACCAAAATAACCAACTAAGGTCCTTACTTCATCTATTATTATCCCTTCTTTCCTTATTTTCAACCCTGGCTTTATCCCTGCCTCTTACCCCTCAGCATATAAACCCTCAATTCTCTCCCATCTCCACATACACACACACACACACCCCTCTGTCCCGGTTAACTTCATTCAGCAAGTAGCCATCTGTGTTTGCTACCTTCTCTTCTTTAACTTCTAAGCATTTTTTTAAATCTTACGCAGTCCAGCTTTTGTCCCCACCAAGCCATTAACAACCTGCACTAAAGTCACCAATGGCTTCCGCTTTGCCCATCCAGTTGACCCCTGTCAGCCGTGACCTCATTTGACCTGACCTCTGAAGGCTTCTCTCCTGGTGCTTGTCCTGCTTCTCTTGGACCCTCATGGGCCCCTTTTGCTCAGTTTCCACTAAGGTGTCCTCTTACTTAACGTATCACTTATATTTTTTTAAAAGTCTCAATCTATATGATGCTTCTAATTCCAAAACTTGTTCCTCCTCTTTAGTCCATATCCTGGCTAGTCACCCACTCGCCCAGAGTATAGGAGTCACACTGGTCACCCTGCTCACCTTCAGCCTCTGCTTTCAGCCACCTGCTGGTCCTACCACGTGGACCATGTCTGACAGCTGCCCTCTGCATTTCCCTGGCCCTGCTTACACCTTCATCTACCTTTCCTGTGGCTAAGGTTGCCTACCTGCCATTTCTGCGTACTTTCTCACTTTCCTTTTCCATATTCTATCCTCACGCCAGAGTCAGCTTGGCTAGAGGATGAATCTCAGATGGAGAGGGTTGCATGATCTTACTCCTCAGCTCATGCCTATCATCGTCATCACTTTTTTTTTTTTTAAAGATTTTATTTATTTATTTGACAGAGAGAGACACAGCGAGAGAAGGAACAGAAGCAGGGGGAGAGGCAGAGGGAGAAGCAGGCTACCCGCTGAGCAGGGAGCCCGATGTGGGACTCGATCCCAGGACCCTGGGATCATGACCTGAGCCGAAGGCAGACGCTTAACG